AGGAGAAAGTTATACCTAATGAAATTTTAATATCGAAGATAGAAACTTTCGTTCATGCAAGAAGGTGAAGTCTGAAATGAGTACCGAAGGGGAATACTAGCTCCAAGGGTTTTCTTTTGTGAACGCTTCCTTCTTTGGGAATCTTGTTGTTTTGAGAAAAAGTGCACAAATCCATTCGGAGGCGGGTCGGCCTTCAAAGGAGGCATTATGGGTCACGCTTGGCGCCCAACTGTAATGCTGCCAGCTCACCTACCAACCCAAAGGCGCCTCAGAACCACCTCTTTTCCGCCCTCTTCATCTTTCCTCTACGTTCATCCTTTCTTTGCCTAACCCACCCACCACTGTCGCTGTCTTCCCGGTTGTTTTAAATTGAAAGCGTCAAGTTGTCTTCTCACCTATGTGGAGGGGTACTAGCACGTCCTCATTGGAGGTGAGACCTCGATTGGTATGAACCATGTGGGGTAAAGGTAAGTGACACTATCACACACGCATGGTCAGGGTAGCGGGGGTTTTGGATAGGTGAAAGATCGACTGTGGGAGAGGCATTCGATTGACGTCGGGAGCTTCTCTTTCATTCGATTAGCGTTCATGGGAACAAAGTGATTGTATCTGTCACATCGTACTGGATACTGACCGTGGAGCTTGAAGCTTCTTACTCAGCAGTGTGGTCCTACTTATTCCAATTTAGCACATGGCCCCCTTCTCCTCGCGGTAAGGTCACACCTCAAATCCAATTCCTAACTAATACTGCAAACGCTAGTTGCTCAAAAAGTACTTGACGTCGAGGCTAGATGGCCGACGTTTTGCTAAGCCCTTGGGATAGATTCGAGTTCCACTCGAAATAGGTTCTGGAAGCATTAAATTGGTCTCGATTTTACAGTTAAAGACATAATGTTCCCATCCTTCTGAGATGCGGATCTCCAGGTGCCTGCAAAAGCTTTTGGAGTGCTTCTGAGGAAGAAGTCTATATAGACAAAGGTTCTAATTGGCCTATTTAAGATCCCATCCCATCGAACGTGCTTGTAATTGGGTGCGCTTCACGTTTCTGCGCTCTACTACCCTTATCAAGCGTTAAAGCTAGCAACTGCAGAGTCATTTTCTCGAAGTTCCCCACTCAAGTTGCCTCATGCCTTAAGTACCTACACTCGCCAAGATGGGGCATATTGGGGTGGGTGGTTGCAGGGTGCGATGTATGATCACCAACGAGTGTAAAACCGTCGTAAGCCTCTAGAGTGTCAAAACTACTCCACCATTTCATTCCACTTTTTTGCGTAATCGGTTTTCTTGAGAAGTCTCACACCTTTTCCTACCAGGGTCAGATGAAATGCGACATGTATCACTCATACCTCTCTGACAAGCTGTTTCCATCGTACCGCCAAAAAATACCTCACTTGTACGTGTGAGTAGAGGGGCTTAAATTCGTTCATTCAACGGTTCCTATTGCCGCTGAAGTTTCACTTTGTCAATTCCCATTTATTTCTGCCTTTTGACTATTTTTTGTTTCTTCTGTTATGGCTTGTTACAAGAGCGGTCCCTTTTCCCGGGTTGCTGAAACGCTGATTGAAGGAACAATATAGTGACGGGGCAATGGGGCTCTCCGGGAAGGGGTTTGAAAGTGTCATCCGTTGCCTTCCTGTTCAAATTGTTCCCATTTACCGAATTGTCGTTTCTTTTTCTCATATCAAAGCGATTTATTTGAACTGTGTCCTAAAATATGCTCCTGTGCCCTACCCACCCCATACGGGTGAGAACATCAAGGATTACCCACTGGCCGACAACTGACTACTAATATTTTCTATTATATTGTCCAGCATGCTTCCTTTTCTGTTATCTTTTATTTATGGAAATATTTGCAATGAAACAGTGAAAATGTGGAGTGCAGGGTACAAAGAGATCGGTGGTCGTGATCGACCCCAATGCCTGCCTTTGCGCTACTCGGCCCTATGTTTGTCAGATACAGCTAGTTTGCAGCTACTTTTCTTCCCGCACCACAAATGCCAGCTGGAACATCTGCTCAGTCTTGTACAATGTCGGTGAAACGTGAAGAATCCTAGATATTTCTAAAAAAATGCCAACATTTTTCCATAGCCATTACTTCCTTCATATCTGTCTTCCTTTAATCACGCTCATCGTTGTTTTCCGGTTCCACCAATCCTTTCTGGACAATTCCGAGATCGCTTAGCGTAAAGCGAATGTCAGGGCCCAATCCGTTTGTCATACATTGCTTCAGTATCCAGTCGCATTCAAACTTGCCCGGTGTTCGTTCTTCCTTCTCGATTTCAGTGTTATGAGCACGATGTGCCATAAATAAGGTTATGGTGGCCGTTGACATTCACTCGACCGCCTTTCCTTTTCTAGTGACACATGATTTTCTCGAGAGCGGCATTGAAATGGATGGGCGAGATGATATCGCCCTGCCGAGCCCCTCTCTTCACGTTGGCAATTGCTTACTTTCGGAATGGCAAAATCCTGTTCATAAAGCTGTCATACAGCTCACGAAGTAGCCTTATATTGGGTAGAAGAACCCTAGTTGTTCGATTACAGCTTCTGCCTCGAAGGTATCGGAGACCGTCTTGCCTAAAGTGGTAAATAGGCAGACAGTCGTGGCTGTGAAAAAGGTCCAAGAAAAGTTGTAGAGGTCTTTCTTGTTAGCCTTCGGGATGCACTAACTTTTCCGACAGAACAACGAAGTGAAGTCATCCTGGTCTCGTAACTGACAGAGCTCCGTCGGGCTTTACGACTGCTCTTTCTGGCCTCAGCGTCTCCGTCTATAACTGTTGCTCTCCTCTCGTTCATGTCCTTCTTATTCGGTTATCTGCATACCTTCGCATGTTCGGACGTTTGTTGAAGATTGCCCGCAGCTCGCGCGACTCCACGCCTGCGTGTTAGCTCGAGAATCTTCGAAGGGAGTGGCTACCGAGGTTGACTACTTGTAGACTGTCTGCTTTCATAGCACCATCGTGAAGATGTTTGTCGAACAGGCTATGTTCTTCATTATTGTCAACGCAACATTTCCAGAGACTCGCACAGAAAAGGAGTAATCAAAAATGATAGCCACTATATGACACGTTTCCTGAATTTTGCAGCTCCTGAAAAACAGAATCTAGCAAATCTTGAGTCGACGGTCCGATAAATGTAGAACTTCAGAAAAATAGCAATAGTCAGGCAAAACAAAACAAAATGATGACCTCCCAAAGAAGTATTAGCCTTTTCAAGAACTCTATAAAGCCCATGTCAAATGCTACCAGCTCTTCTTCTTTGAAGCGTGATGTTGTGCGTAAGCAACGAAGATTTTCAGGTCTGGGGTTGAGCCACATCTTCTCAATTCGATTTGGTCTATCACTTTGCCATACAAACAAGTGTTCGTGGAAGAGAATATACTGATAAGGGCACTTATATCGCCGACGCCTCTGCCTTCGCATATTCCAAGAAACAGTTCTTCTCCGTCTTAGCAATGGCGTTAGTGGCGGATGCCTATTCGTATGTGTCGGTTGATGACGTAGGCAGACACCGGATATCTGACCAGGCCATCCCAAAGTGGGACATCGACTCCAGAATCCAGGCTTGGCCGCGATAATACTGCTCTTTGAAAAAGAAGTTCTCTGGAAAGTTTTCAACTTCTCTTCTGCTTCAACCTCGGCATAGGTGTCTATGATTGAAATAATTCTTTGCCGTGGTTGTTAAGTGGAACAATTTATTCAATCACCAGCCTGACGTTTCGTCGCAATCGTCTTCTTCACGAGCTACTGACGGTCGCCTGTGGCGACTGCGGATTTTTCTCCGCTTCAGTGGTGGAACCTTGGCCGTTGAGGAAGGCGATTGCGTCAAAACGTTAAGCCTTCTACTGAATAAATTGTCCCTTCTAACAACCTCGCAAGGCACAAAATTATTTTAATCGCTGGAAAGCATTAGCGACATGAGAAGATACGAGAGGTCATAATCTCGCCTCTCAGTGATAGCGCTTCCTTCATGTCTTTCTTATTTAGTAACAATAACTATAAGCCATTTGCATGAAATGTCCAATTGTGAGAGAAGACCAAGTTCGTAGCGCAATGTAAACACACTGCTACTTTTGAACAGCCTTTCATCTTGGGTCCTTGCAAGATGTG